TTCCTCTTTACTCTAATCCAGCTCTTTACTTGCTCTTGTTGTTTTCCCTATCCCTTACCGAGTGTATGCACTTACATAAATTTTTCTTCGCTCCCTCTTACCGAGGAAAGCTCTTATGTTGGTTCTCACTTCCTCTGGTTACTGAGCTTATCTAGCCAGTGCACTTGCTTCGGGCCTCGACACACCGCAGTTTCCTCTAGGTCTACTCGTCTCATGTAGTCTAGTCGAGTGTCTAGTCGGTAGTCACCCACTATCACTATGTAAGCTTATAATTATTCCCGTTAAAGGTTTCAGCGGTCGCCTTCTAAATACCGAGCTCTTATCCAATTTCATTTAATAGCTCTTCATCTTCCCATTTTTTTTATTGTTATATTTAATGCAAGAGATGGATTTTTTTTTGTCTAATTGGCCTGATTTTTTTTTGATAGTAGTTTAAATTTAATTAAAAATTAATGAATCTGTTGTGAGTTATAACTTTTTCCGTAAAAGCTTTGAAAAGCTTGGAATTTTTTACCAGTATCAACATGCTTTGTTCGCCAGGTAATATTATACTGCAGAGAACTAAAAAGTTCGGGTAAATGTTTAAATACACGTTTTGAAATGAATTGAACTTTATAAAAAATTAGTCGGGAAAAATCGGGAGAAAAAATTCATTTAATTTTATGACACTGAAGTTAGAAGACGTGTAAAAATTTTTGATTTTTTTTTATTAATTAAATTACAACTAAAAAAATATTTCTAAAAAATTGCACTTATAGTTTTTCAAGTTTTTTACATGTGACAATTGTTTTTTAAATTGTTTAATTGAAATTTTTTCAATAAAAAATTTTTAAATGTCGACTAACTTCATTTTCATTTAATTTTTATTGTTTAAAATTAAATGTGATATTTACATAAAATAAAATTTTTTAATAATCTATCACTATGCAATAATGAATACATTCAACAGGTTATTGGCTTGTAACTACAATAATTTCTTTAAATATACATTAAAAAAAAAGGCCTGTAATTTTTATCAAATTTATGTAATAATGTAAACAAGAGTAATGTTGAGAATAATAAAAAAAAATTTTTTTTTACAAAAAATTGACAAAAATTTAATTAAAAACGATAGATTTACGAATTGATAAAACTTTAAATTCCAACATAAACTTATCAAAAATATTAGAGCTCAACCAACCAAGTGCCCTGCTAATTACCCGGTTATTATGATTACGGACTTAATTAATAGGTTGGCGGTGTAAATATAAATAAAAAAAAAAAAAAATGAGATGTGCAGACGGGCGGGCAGTCAAAAAAGTAAAGCGAAAGAGAAAGGAGAGAACAATGAGGAAGCGAGATCGAGCTCCATACACTCCATAGTCCATAGAGATGTAGCACTTGGCATTTGCATACTTTAACACTGCAGGTGAAACAGTGGTTGCATACTATCTCAACTTCGTGATATTATATACAGTACTCCTATCCGTGAAACATATAAATCTCCTGATGCTGAGCTTATGTATGCGCTGCGCCCTGCACTGCGATATCTTCCAGTTGTCAGGGGAATCGGGACTAAAAAATATCCTAGTAATATAAATGATAAACTCGACGTCATCAAAAGAATTTTCATGATATAAATATATATTTTGTGTAATTTTTTAATTTTATTTTAACGCATAATAATAATAATAACTAGCAACCTTGCAGCCACTATATGACTGCCGTGACTTGTGAACTTTGAATGAATAAAATTTTGCTTTATTAATTAATGACTTTTGTTAAATTGCACTGTACTTTCTTAACTATTGAATTTCTTAAAGATATAAGCTCATCCCGATGTTACACTCATCAAGAGCTTTCATTTGACTATCCACATGTATTTTTGATATATTTTTCATATATACATATATATAATATATATAAATATATGAAATATATGAAAAATTGATGTGGGTACTCAAATGAAAGGTCTTGATGAGTGTAACATCAGGATGAGTTTATATTTTCAAAAATATCATTAGTTGACAAGATACAAGGTCATTTTTTAATTATTGATATTTTTAAAGATATAAGCTCATCTTGATATTACACTCATCAAGAGCTTTCATTTGCGTACCCACATGCATTTTTATATATTTTTCATATATACATATATATATATATAATAAATATATAAAATATATGAAAAATTGATGTGGGTACCCAAATGAAAGGTCTCGATGAGTTTAATATCGGGGTGAGCTTATATCTTCAAAAATGTCAATAGTTGAGAAAGTACAGTGTAATTTCACAAAATTCATTATTTAATAAAGCAAAATTTTAAAGATATAAGCTCACCCTGACATTACACTCAT